GGAGGCACGGGGCAGCTTGGGGAGAGAGAGTGAAGGGGAAGCTTATCCAGGGAGAAAGGGACTTCTAATATGGATGGTGCTAACAAGATACCAGGCCTGTTGAGACTATTTGTCTTTTGTTTTCATTAAAATTGATTATTCAGTACCTGTGTGGGACAGGTTGGGGCTACATGTAACTCCTGAGAATTACTAAAAATGATGAATTAGGATCTATTTTCTGAACCTTTTTTATGGGGCTGAAGAAATTACCAATGGAGGCTACTCATGCTTCCCAGGGTCCCTACTCCAGATAAGATGAGCAGCTGCCACTGGGCATGAAGTAGCTCACTTCTGCCTCCATTGTTACTACCCTCATTTAAATCAGACGGTTTTCCCCAGCCTCCTAGGATGCTGTGTTTCATTTCCTCTCTCTTATGTCATTAAAGAAAACACTGTCTAGTGAGGAATTGATAATAAAACAAAAATTGTTCTCTTCTATTTTCCCCTCTCCCATCACTTCCCTGTTGCTAGGTGCACCTGTTTGGTGCTTTCAGAAGTACAGGCTGCTATAGCCTCAGGGGAGGCTTAGTGCTGGAATGTCTTGTTCCTCCATGCCCTTCCTAAGAGATCACACAGCTCATGTGCAGCCCTCTTCAGTGTTTTGCCCTCAGTTTCCCTCTTGTGGTTGAGATCTGCCATAGACACTGTACTTAGACTTGCTGGGATTTCTACCTTTCCCACCCCTGTTTCATTTCCCCACTTTCTAACACACTGCATTGTATTTATTTCTGATATTTCATTGCTTACTTCGCTGTCTCCTGTTACGATACTGCAAATACAGGTGAGGATTTTTGTCAGGTCCTCAGTGATAAAGTCCCCATTCCTAGAAAAATCTCAGGAACTGGTAGGTACCCATGAACAATTTTATTAAATGAATGAGCAGATGTAAGTTTACTGTGGCCAGATATTTTATTAAATAAAGGTTTTGCATTTAGTAACTCTTCTGTTATCATGATGATCTTGGAGAGCACATATTACAAAGCATTATTGGACAGACAAGAAAATCAAGACCAGAGAGGCTAAGGACTATGTCCCCGACTCCAAAGCCACTACGCAGGAACCTAAGTCCATATGCTTCATGATACCTGTTCTTAGCTCTACCTTTGGTCTGAGGGCTTTGGTCCTGGCCTAGATAGTGTATATTGTGCTGCCTGAGAGCCTTCAGAGCCCATCTAACGACTCAGCTTCCCTTTGTGCAGTGAGACTGTATTGGCAACCTCCTAGCCACCGCTTCCCCTGCACTTTGCCTGTGCCTAACTCTCATATTAAAGACAGGAAAGACTTCAGTTTGCTTTGGATAACTGAAAACTTCTGTGAAGCTAAAAGCTAAGTAAAATGGTATCAAAAATACCTGCATTCTTTTCCATTGTTTAGTGGATTCCTGAGGCTGCAAAAGTTAATGGAGTAAAATCTCCCAGTTTACTCAGTGGAGATGGGAGGAGCCAGGAATGTTCATGTTCTGGGAGCTGAGGCACAGATTTTTCTGAGTATGTGATCCTGTTTCCTGATACAGGCTCTTAATCTCACCCTCCAGTTAGATCATCTTGCTTTTACCAGATTTGTGGTTGGGACTTGGTTTTGCCTTCATGCTGCAGATGTTGATTTCTTCAGCTATCATAGTATGACACTGTCATAGCATGAGAATGACAAATACACCAAGAATCACCATCTCCACCATGGCCAGGCCTCAACAAAGACCACAACAGCTAGGGCCTGGGATCTGACCTATTATTTCTCATTATAAGAAATACCAGTTGGTACAGGGGGTCAGAAAGGAAGCCCAAACATCCCCATCTAAACTGCAGTTAGATCATCAATGTTTTTCCTTCACTGGTAATTCCTTGTCCAACAAATATCCCCTGCCTCTAAATCAGTAAAGCACAGTCCCTAGAAGAGAACCTTTGTTTCCTTCTGTCTCAACTCCACAAACAACAGGCTCCCTGCAAACTTACCAGAACTCCCAGTAATTATCTGTGGCTCAGTGGGAGCGATATTCTTTTTTTTTTTTTTTTTTTTTTCTTTTTGAAGCAGGGTCTCCCTGTAGCCCCACCTGTCCTGGAACTCACCCTTACCATGTAGACCAGGCTGGCCTTGAAATCACAGAGATCCGCCTGCCTCTGCCTCCCAAGTGCTGGGACTATAGGTGTGTGCCACCATGCCCGGCTGGGAGTGATATTCTTTACTGAAGATAGTCACCACCAAGATTCTGCCTTTTATTCCTTAAATTGGTTATACATCACTGATGACTGAACATTAATGCAAAATAGTCATGGAAAATAGACACGGTTTAGAACCTTGACTTTAGTCACACTGTCTATGTGACCTTGAGCTGGTAGCGTGGTCTGTCTCTTAATCTCCTCATTTGTAAAACAAGAACATGTACATGCATCTACAGTGAGGGGTGTAAAGATGCAAAGTTCTTGACCTATTAAAGGAATAAGCCTTCAATAAATAACTAGAGATACCACAGGCCTTTAGTTTCAAAATCACTGTCTTCTTTATCTCTTAGTCTCATTTTTTACCTTAGAATTTTAAACTATATGAAAACCTAAATAGACTTCTGAAACCAAATTATGTGTAATACAGCTAAATGTGTTGACTTAAAGTTTTGTTTCTAGAGAGTTAGGGTAGCCTGGCATTGTCAGAGCTCACTGAGAAACCCTCCCACAAAGTAGTTTCTAGTCTCAGAGTTATGAGTTCTATTCATTTGGCTGACGGTTTTTGATCAACTGCTTTATCTGGTGCTGTGCTAGCTACTCAAGACACCAAGAACATAAGATCTGGCTCCTGACCTCACAGAGAAAGGACAAGATAGAGAATTGAGGAAATCATTGCAATGTGTGAACCACATCTGGGTAGAAGTTTTATTCGTCCCCATGGGATGATCTGTCATTACCAGTAGCCCTGAATTTACTTGAAATTAGGGCAAGGAATCTCATTCTGTGCTTGGCTATTTGGGTCAAGAGGGCATACTCCAGCTTTCCTACCTGTGAACTTAGTTTCTTCATCTTCAGAATTAACATATCCAAAAAAGCATTACTTACCCACTCACTGGATCATAGGCCTTAGATGTTTAAGTGGAATATGTAAAAGCATCTCCTTTCTGAAAGTTTTAAAGATAAAACATGCAATGATAAAATTCATTAAACTATGTAAGAAAAAATGCAAGGCTATGCAAAATGGTTGTTCCTTTGCCATATCAACCATCTTATCCACGTCAACCTCTGAGGCAGAAATATCACAGGTATAAATTAAGCTGGAAGATGGCATATTGGAATCACATAGTGTTCTAGATTCAGTTTCTGGGTGTCTGAAGATCGCCATGCTTATCTTTGCCTCTAGTTTAGATAGTCCTAGAGGAGATGCTGTTCTAAAGTCACTGCTTTTCCAGATTCTTCACATTGCTTGGAAGTATTACCTGGTGATGCTTCCCTTCATTCCCGAGACAAATGCCTGCCACCTGCTGCCTGCGCTTCCCCGGTGCTTTTAGAGGACCACTTGGTACCCAGACAGTACAACCTAGAACTGCAGGGTTGTTAATATCTCAGGGAATAAACTTGAACCAGCCATGCATAGGAGCTGGACATAAAGTCTTTTTCTCCCTCTGTATGGACCAGTAGAGTGTCATGAGTTTCATATATCCTCTTGTAAAATATTCCATTCAGATGCTCTGGAAGGTGTTACCACTGCCTTAATGCACTCTGTTAGATTTACTTTCTCTTGTTTCTTGCCTCATTGCCCTTTATCCTCACTCTTACTTCACCGGGATTGCACTTTCCAATCAAGTGGATTATATGAGCTTTTGCCTCGGGTTATGTATTTCAGTAAACCTAGTAAGACAAAGAGTATTCCAGCTAAAACTGACCTTAGAGGTATCTTAGTCAAAGGAATTTAATGTATACAACAGAAAACTGAAGTCCATGGGGCAGAGGTAGAGTGAATTACACAAATCAATGTCTTTGACTTTTAAGTTCAGTGTTTTTAAAATAATATCAGGCACATATAAGTAAATATGCATATATTTGTATATAGTTACATATATATGCACGCATACATTATATACATTATAAATACAAATGATCATACATGGATTATTAATGATCATGTGCTGTTTGATAATGCTTTGATCAGTAATGGACCACGTATATCACAAGACTATAATGGAGCTAAAAATTTCCTAGTCCATGGTGATGTTGCAGCATCCATGGTGATGTCAGGAAAGAGTTCAGTCTCTCATGTTTGTGGTGATGCTGGTATAAACAAACCTACTGTGCCACCAGTCCTATGAAAGTACAACACATATACTTGTGTATATTATATAATATTGGTCATGATAATAAACATCTGGCATTTGTTTATGTATTTACTATTCTTTATTTACCATTACTTCAGAATGTACTACTTACCAACATATCTTATTGCAAATAGTATATTGTTTCATACCACCAGTGGCAGCCTCACACATATTATGTCTACCATGTCTTTTGAGGGTATCATTTCTGTTCCTAGTTTAATCTTATGGTGTTCTGTTTGTCATTACTCTAGAAACAATAGATTATGACCTGCATATATCATATATACTTGGTGTCGAGTAGACCATATAATCTAGGTTTATGTAGGCACATTCTATAATATTTACACAATGGTGAGGCAGAGGAGGTAGCTCAGCAGTTAAGAGAACTGGCTGCTCTTGCAGAGGACTTGGGTTTGATTCTCAGTACCCACATGGTGGCTAACAACCTTTCATAACTCCAGTTCCAGGGGATCCGACACCCTCTTCTGACCTCTGTGAGCATTGTACAATCAGGTGCAATTTCATACATGCAGGCAATACACTAATACACATAAAATAAAACTAATAAATGAAATATTTACACAATGTTCAAATTGCCTAATGATGCATTTCTCAGAGCTCTTGTTTAAACGATGAAAGCTGTACTTGCCTTTTCTTTCCTCCTCAGAAATAGCAGACAAGATCTATAATCTCTTCAATGGCTATACCAGTGGGAAGGAGCAGCAGACTGCCTACAATACCCTTCTGGATCTGGGTTCTCCCACGTTGCACCGAGTCCTCTACCACTACAACCAACACTATGAGAGCTTTGGGGAATTTACCTGGCGGTGTGAGGATGAACTAGGCCCCAGGTAATCAACAAACTGTACAATATCTTTTAAATACTCTGGAATTCTGTGCCTCTTCCATTGTGATTCTGTTTCATGGAGGTTGCAGAGATTTCCTCAGAAAACTTAGGCGCTCAGAGAAATAAGTTCTGTGTTTTAGATAGTTCATGTTATACAGAATTGTTTTGAACGAGCTCTTTAAAGCGGTTGAGTCATGAATTCATTTCCTGAACTCTGGAAAAAAAAAAAAAAAAAAAAACAACTTTGCTCTGATCATGCTGACATGGAATTCTGATGCTAGAATTACAGAGGCCGAAAGCTCAGTCTTGTGAAAGTAATTAGGAATTTTATTAAAAAGCCCAACCAGAAACATTCAATGCACATGCACTTTCCATATGTTACCTATATAATGCAGACTTACTTTGAGTTAAAGTCCACATTCTCTTGCAAAGCAAAAGAGTAGCTTAAGGCCTTTGCTAAGATGACACAGTGCTGGCCAATTTATTCTGGCCCCACATTTGTACTTCTAATATTCAGTACTCACTCTTTAGGCTGCACAGCCCAGAGAGAGTGCCCAGAAAGTAGAGAATGTGAAGCCTAGGGAGAGATGTCACTTTCCTTTGTCTCCATTCATCAGAACAATACACTGCTATCTTAAGAAAACAAATTTTCCTGGAAATTATGGAATTCTTAGATAGAAACGATGAAGGGTTGTATTGCATGAAAACTGAGTAGTCAGTTATTCAGGAATTCATATAAGGTGAAAATAGGCAACTACGAGAATAAGAAAAAGGAAGTGGAAGAAAAAGTAAAAGGAAGGGAGGAGAACATCAAGTCAAGGGGAGAAAGCGAAAGACGAAGTTAGGAAAACCAGTTCTATAGCATCCCTGCCCCCAGCACTTAGAGAGTCAACAGTGAAATGCAGCCTTCTCTGGATGTCATCCCCTTCCATTCATCTGACTTCTGGAGGGACACTCACCTCAGTCATTATACATTTTCAGAGGAGAATCTTGTTCGGGGCATTTTCCTTGCTGCTTCTGCTTCATTTTCTTCCTCCTCCTCCCCTTTCTCCTCCTCTTCTTTTCTTCTAGCCTTTTGGGGGTATGAGTGTCTATGAATATGTGCAAGTGTGTGCAGGTGCACATGTGTGCAGGTGTGGGTGGAGACCAGAGGTCGCTTTGAGCTTTGTTCCCCCATCTCCACCTCTCTGGACTTGGAATTATAAGCACAGACCACCCTACCACACGAGCTCTTTACATGGTTTCAGGGGATTGAACTCAGGGCCTCCTGACCTTATTATTGCTCACACCCAGTATCGTCTACTGCAACTATCTCCCTCCCTTCCTCTGCCTCTCTGCTCCTGGCTCTTTTTTTCCTTCCTTCCCTCCTTTGTTCTAACACTTACTGAGCATATACATGCAATTCTTTGTTAGAGAGCATAGATGCCACAAGTTGAACAGTCCTAACAGTGCGCATTTCAGCTTCCTTTCTAAGGGCATTTGGAGCTTCAAGTTTTCTCTTTTGTGACTCAGGAGTTAGAGGGAAAATTGGTCAATATAGACAGTGAGCTGCGGAGGAGAGGGGAATGCCACTTGAAGCAAAGCTCACTGTTGACTCTGCATCCTCCTCCCTGTGCTCTCCTCCCAGAGGCTCTTTCATGGGTAATACTGGTCTTTCACAAATACATAGTAGGAAACATTATCCATGGAAAACAAAACCTTAATGTCGTGGATCTCAGGGAGAACCACAGAAGAGGAAAAGCCAACTGCCTTGAGTGACATCAACCCACTTTGGGGTTAGTTGTGAGAATGAAACAAATGAGTCTGTGGGTACACACTTCCTATGAACAAGCAGGAAGGATTTCCTCAGCTCTGTTAAACCCAATTCCATTAAAACTTGTGGACGCCTCCAGAATGAGTTGAGGTTGCAAATACTCTGAGGACAACAGTGGTTACACCATCACCTACAAAGAAGATCATAGACTCTGAGATGGTCACGGGTAATCACAAGCTAATTGCTCCTTAAAAACAACAAATGAGCAATGAAAACAGCAACCGAGACTCCATAGGCTAATTCCGTTCACTCCTTTGAAAGGCTGCTGAGCCATGTTCTTTAGTCTGTTTCTTGAAGATGATGTGATGCTGCTCTCATTCCTCTTACACATCCCCTTCCTCCGTCTCCTGGGAAGGCTAGCAACTGATAGGTAGCACATGGTAGGAGAGATTGAAAGGGAGAACCACCACAGTCTTTAGTGATGATGACTTTTAGAAAACCTGCCTGGCTAAACTCCCAAAGCTGGTAGGGAAAGTAAAGACTGTCCCTCTGAATGGCTATTTAGTTGGCCAGCAGAGTGCTTGTTTGGTGTCTTCTGACCCACCACCATTGGAGAAAGTACAACTTTCCTTCCAGTAAGGCCATACCACTCTTAGCCCTTTGACTTCGATGCCAAAGCTCAGCATCTTTCCTCAGCATCAATGCCACACTCTTCCAATATGTCCTCTTAGGAATTAAATGACATCACCCCTTGATGATTCTCACTGCCAGGACAGAAGAGGAATGAAATGGATGTAATTACTTTTTCTTTGAAAAGTTTGAAAATGGGGGTACAAAAAGCTGTCCATTTCTAGAAGGTGCTGATGTCCAAATCAGAAAAGAGATGATTCCTCACACAAGACATTTGCTAACCTAGCAGTTAGTAAATATGTCATGGATTCTGTTCATTAAGCTTTCCACACAGCACTTTAAGCCTCACATGAGCTTGCTCCCGTAAGAGAATCATCTTTCATAGCTCTCTAGTCACTTACATCTTTGAATAGGAAAAAAATAAAACAAAAAACCAGCCAAAGGGAATCCTTTGCCTTTAATTGCTCAGAGAGAAAGACATCAAGGTGTGGGAACTGGTTTTCAGGTAGCCTGTATCTCTACTACCATAAGAAATGAACACCACAGTTGGTAACATGCTAGGCATTTCCCCAGGCTCTGTGCTGGAGGCTCCCACTCTCTGAGGAATCAGTCTTTTCAAATGTATGTAAGGCTTGGCAAACTTGCTTTCCTCTCCTTCCTCTTGGGGATCTGCAATGGCTCAGTGCAGTCTCATCCCCTCCTTTGTCTGCTTTTTTCAAGTGGGCCTTAATACCAATGGCAATGACCTCTTGACTTTATGAAGGACGAAATGGGGCATGAGCTCCCCTGGAGGTTAATTACATGATGTGCACAACTGGGAATCTGCTGTGTCCAAAGACTGTCCTGTGTCAATGTGAATAGGCCCTATTGTCTTCAGCCTCACTGAGCTATAATTACCTCAACACAGGTGTAATTCGTCACATTGGATATCCCCTTCACTTCAATATATAGGCTGTTTTTATTCATTCAAATACAGCCTTGAAAGGGGACATACTCAGCCAAGCACATTACTTGTCATTTAGTGATGATAAATTATTGGTTTTTATAGAACATTGATTTGATTGCTTTCAAGACTGCCAATTCCATGATTTTAAATATTTCCAGGAAATATTAGTTATTTATTTTCTCCTCTTTATTTTATTTCTTGCTGCATTTTTTTCTATTTCTTTTTGGTGCATATGACACTTTGCATAACTACCTCATTCATTCATCATAAATTCATCCATTCCTTTACTCACTGAACAAACATTTGTAATGAATCTGATATGCTAAATGTAGAGATAAAGCAGTCAACTCTGTCCTCTTCAAGTTTAGACTCTCACTTTAGTGGTATTTTTGTGTGCTCCTTGACCTTCTCTTTTTCTGACAAAAGTGTCTTTTTCTGCTTGAACTGTAGGAAAGCAGGCCTCATTCTTTCTCAGCTTGGGGATCTCAGCAGTTGGTGCAACGGACTCCTTCAGGAGCCCAAGATAAGCTTGCGGCGTGGCACACTCAAGTACCTGGGCTGCCGCTACAGTGAGATCAAACCTTACGGACTGGATTGGTCAGAGCTCAGCCGGGACCTCAGGAAGACATGTGAGGAGCAGACCCTGAGTGTTCCCTACAATGACTATGGGGACAGCAAAGACATCTAGCACCATGGGACCAGGGAGTGGCTGCCAAAAGAAATCAGGAGAGACGAGAGGGACATCTGGGTTGATTTGTGGATTTTAAAACATTTTTTAATGGAACATCCAAAGCTCCACAGGAACCTTCTAAACCAGGAAGAACATGATTCTTGCTCCCTGCAGGACTTCTCCAGTGTGATGTTCTCCACCTGCATGATCAGTAAACCCGCCAACCAGTGGCTTCATGCAGCACTGTCTTTTCTTAGAGGATTACCTTGGAATTAACTTTGGTATTAATTTGTTTCATGCATTTTTTTTCTCCAAGAAGTTTATCAAGATGCTCAAGAATGTCATTCTCCTTCCCACAAAAAGTCTAGGGTTGAAGCCCCTCTGCTTTATGGGTTTCTGAATCTATTCCACATGGGAACAGAGGTGAGGGCAGAAAGCTCCCTGTGCCTCATGCCACAGCTCAGGCACTCCTAAGAAGTATCTCATACTGGGAGCCAAAACCCTGTGCACAGAGAAAGATAATGAGAAAATCGGGACTGGGCTTGCCAAGTGTCTGTTCCTTATGGGTTTTCTCTCGGACTTCCTTGTGGCTCTTTTCACACCTCACAGTTGAATCTGGTGTCCACTACAGGTCCAGTAGGCCTCTGGGGTTTTAGGTTTTCCCCTAGTTAAGCTGGGACTGGAATTAAATCTTCCTCTGGCAGGTGTCTGTCCTTCCCTCTGAACAGTGTGATCTTTGAGAGGCAATGAGGTAACACCTGTCAAATACACCTCATAAGAAGTCTGCTACAAGACCATGCAGCAGCCCCTAGGGAGTAGGCAGAGTTTATTGTTTCAAAAATTGTGCACTTCTAGACCACCAACATAGACCCAAAGGCCTTGATTCTGATTAGTTCTGGGCCTAATAGCCTGAACAGAAAGGACTTGGCTGGTGTTTGGTTCAATCCGAGAGGGAGATTCTTCCCTGTCAGTGTTTTGGTGAATTTAAGCTATTACCAATCTAAAAAATACTCCTGTCTACCAGTGCTAAATTTTCTTAATTACATTGCAAATGTTGCCAGTCTTTTCTCTGATGACCATTAGCAGGATTCTGACATTGTACTGCCCATTCCCCTAGTTGCTGGGAACATAAAAACTTCTGTGTAAACTAGCGCTCTCTGCAATTCTTTCTACTTACTGCCCAACAAGGGCATGGTGACCCAGTTAAGAAGAAGACTAGCCTTTCAGAAACAGCCTTCCAGGGTCCTGTTGACTAGCAATGGCCCAACTCACTTTCAGTCAGCTAGTCTTGACCAGGACTCTTCAAGTAGAAACACATGGCACAAGTCAGGGAAAGGCACTACATCCACAAGACCATGCTTGGGCCTTATTGATGATTTCCAACCAGAAATAATGACAGAGAACATTGATTAAGATTTTGCTGCATGATTGATGTGATTGTAAACACTTTAACTGAATTCTTACAGCTATCCTTTAAAGAAAGTGCTATTCTTACCTAGCTTTTAGCGATAAGGGAACTTTAGCAGGAAGGTTGCTAGATTTACCCCAGATATCTCATACATTTTTATGCCTGAGCCACAAGATAAGTTCAGATGTCTCCAGAGCACAGGACTTTTACCACCCTGTGATCCTCAGCACTGTCTTGTGTTGCCTGAAGCATACAGTTGTCCAGGCTCTAAGCTCCACAGGGGACCTGCCCAGAGGGCTTCACCTTCCCAAGGTACCAAGCACAGATGTGCCCACTGTGCAGTATAAAGGGGAAGATCCAAAGTACACCCACAGTCTTTGGAGTTAGGGTACATTTGATACCCTAAGTGCAGCAGCACACTGCCTTTCTTACCAGTAAATAGAGATGAGGTTAAATTGCAGGCTGGTCTCATTCCTCTTGCTTCTTTCCCAAGAAATATTGGTAGGTTTATCTTAGACATTCTGAATCACAGATTCCCTTACTTTTAGAGCAAAAGATAACTGAAAATTTGGCTGTCCCACCTGTGGTCAATGCAGGGGCTTCAGTTAAATTGCATCAAGGGGCAAGCTGTTCAGCATTGCTAGAGAATAGGATGGACCAATAGGGCAGAGTGTGCAGCTTCCCTTGCTGCTATAGTTTTGCTATTCAGCTACTCAAGCCCATGGTGAAAATTGTGTCTTGACTTTGAACAGAATGATGCTGAGACTGTCAATGCCTTCTTGCCCCTGTGGTGTTGAGATGGAAGCTTATGGGGCAAGGAAGTGGCATTGGGGTCACCCCTCTGTTACTCCCATGATGCTTCTGTTTCAGGCACATTCTCTTCCTCTCTCCTATCTGCTGCCCTGCTCTCCTTCCACCTCCCACTCATCTGCTTCATACTTCATCTTTTTCTTCATTTTAGTGACCTTCCTCTTCCCTCACTTCCTCTTGATTGTCTTACTCCTTTAATGTGCTCTTGTGTGTGCATGTATGTGCACCCCCACTCCCACACACAACACACAAAACTCCTATGACTGGTGCAATTTATTTATGACTTGAAAAGGCCAACACGAATGGATTAGAGGTGGTCTTGAGATGGTTATACAAGTTACTGGAGGATGTTTACCTTTGAAGAGATAGAGAACACACCCTGCCCAGGATTCTCAATTCTTGCCTGGATGAATTCATCCTGTCTAGAAAGGCAAATGCTACCTTGCCAGTATTAAACCCCAAATTTTCAAGCTGCCAAACAGGTCTTAAGGGAATCACTTCCATAAACCAATACACCTCCAGGTCCTTTTCCCATTGAGACCTCTGTTGTTTCCTCTTGAATATTCTCAACTATTGTACAGCATCAGACCTTTAACTGCGTGTGCAACTATTTCCCATGAAGTTTGGTCCATTCATTATTTTTAATTAATTGCACCCCTTGATATTCAAATGTTCTATTAAAAATTAAGTACAAAAATACTTTACTACTGTAGAGGGGAAAGGAAGTATAATGTGACCATCTTCAACTATAACAGTGTTGTTTAAAAGAATTATTGTACTATTATGAGAAATGATGTAATTGACTAAATAATAAACAAAACTGTTAGTAAGTGTGGGGTGTGTGGATGTTACTTTGTGTCTTTCAATAATCTGAGTGATCTGGTTGACCCACTGGGGAATCATTAAGATTTTCAGTGCTACACTTTATATTCCAAACATGTAGGCTTTAAAACCATCATCCTAACTAGAAGAAAAATCAGCATTTTTCACAGTCAATTATAAACGTACTTGCATGTGGTCCCGAGTCTTATCTCCTATTTCTTTTTCCAAGTAAGTAGTCAGTGAAATGTTGCGTATCTGCTATATTCCAAACACTCTAGTGCAGTGGATACCAGCTTGTTTTCTCTCAAAGTATGGCATTTTTATGGATAAAGTCATACACTGAACCTATCAGTACAAGGGTAAGGAATAATGTTAAAAAGAACAGGATTGGAGAAGTGCTAGAACTTAAAAAAATATGTTGCAAATGACTGTCCCAGAGGTTCTCTAGTGCCCCAACATCTTAGCTCTCAGACTTCTTCAAGAGGATCCTATCCCATCCTGGTTCTTTTTGAACCTCCAGTTCTGGCAGGATTACTGCATCTCTCAGCTCTCACCAGAAAAGTTTCATTGTACAGTAAATGGTGATTCACACAGACACCTACAACTGGCCAACCTGCAGAGAATAAGTGGCTGCAGAGTGCTTATCCATGAATAGGACACATATCAAACTTCTGCCTCCTAAGGCTCAAGGGTCATTGTAGAAGAGGGGGTGGAAAGATTGTAAGAGCAAGAGGTGGTGAACGACCACAAGGAAACAGTTTTCTAAACAGCTGCTCAGTTACTCATATGAGGTCACAGCAACTGTCCCAGCATGCACAAGTCCTATGCAAGTTCAACCCCACCTAAGGAAATTACAGCAATGATGACACCTGGGAGGGCCAGACACAGCCTCTTTCAAGGATTGGACTCTTGGTAGGTTAACCAGGCTCTAGTGGAGATTATATATATATATATATGGTGGTCAGAAGCAATAAGGGGAGGTGAGAATAAAGGAGGGTATCTAAATATCGTCAAATTATATAGTATGAAAATCACAAAAATCCAATTAAAAATATTTTAAAAAATTTTAAAGGGCAAAAGCTGCTAGGTATGGTGGTATATGCCTTTAATCCCAGCACTCAGGAGGCAGAGGCAGGCAGATCGCTGTGAAATCAAGGCCAGCATGGTTTACATAGTGAGGTCCAGGACAAAAAAGAAATGAAAAAAAGGGGCACAATTCACATATATATTAAAATCAATGTTTTAAAAAGGGCTGTCCTAAATCTATTCTTGTGCTGGATGTTATGAAACATCTCATGGTGGGTAGCCCAAAATGCTTGATCTCTTTCTTCCTCTCTATAGTATAGCTTTAGATGTCATCTTGTCTGCCACCAAACCATATGTTTCCCTTTAAACCATTAATAATCAGAGGTTAAGCAGCTGGGCTTAATACAAGCTCTGAAAAAGCAACGATAAAAGTCTCAGTTTTTGGCTCAGCAGAGATTATTCCAAGTAGACGAAGACTTTAGCAGTGTTAAAACACGGCCACAAATTCGTCAACACCCCTTCCACCTGAAGATCTTCCATCTTCAGCCTCTTCAGGACCCAAGTATAGGCAAGTTGATAACTGTTTTGATGCCTGTTTTGGTTTTGGTGGAAATGATATTATGTGACTTCCACATCAGAGTCATAAAACATCCTGAACTTATGCCTGCTCTGGAACTCTTACTCCACAAAGCCTCAATCTTCTGTGAGAGACTATTGGCAGTTAATGATTTCTCTGGGTCACTTTCTTCAGTGATGGAGCCAGTGATTAATGGCCCATGGTGCAGTAAATAACCTCCCAACCACCCATACTCATTCATACAAACAGCTGTAATTAAACTCATTGGGTCATACACGCAAAGAAGACAGGAAAGTAGGAGGAGACTTGGGAAAAAGGATGGAAGCAGCGATGAGGAAAGGGAACAGGGTGTGAAAAGACTAAAATTCATTATGCACATGTGTGAAAGTGTCAACAACAACAACAACAGTAAAACCTTTTTAAATGGGAAAGAAAGAAAAATCACTTTAGGATTGCTCTTTGCACAATCTGAGCACGTTGTCCCGTCTTGTTTGGTTGGTTTGGTTTTAGTTTTAGTTTTTGGCTTTGCTTTGCTTCTTTCTGTTTTTTGTTTTGTCATAGATATGTAATGCAAAGCTGAAGGATTGTGACGCTAGGTCCTGATGTACCTTTGTGGCTCTTTTTGGAGTATTTTCTTTGTTCCTTGTGAATCCATAGTACCATCCAATGCTTAGGTGAGAACTTAGGGATAAAAATTGAGATAGAACCCAGTCTTGATTTTAATATCCTCAACTCTCACCTGCTTCTGCCATCAACTCCTGTAGTAGTTAGTAGTAAGCTTCAAATAAAACCTCAGCATTGTATAGAATAAGTTGACAATGTTTTCTTAATATATGTGGGAATCCAGGACTTAGTTCATGTCCATACTAATTCAAACTGAGAAAAATAGACTTCTTTGTTCTGGGATTTTGCAATGTGTGCTGCAATTAGACAGATTTCTTTACAGATGGACAGGTTTTGACATCACGTTTCTTCACCAAAACTGTCTTTTGTTAGTCTATGATATGCCTGCTCACATTGGGTACAAATTAGTATAATTGATTCCTTACTACCTTTCCCAGGAGGAAAACCTCAGTTGCACTCTGTGCCTAATAAGTAGGAGCAACTTCCTTTGCTTCAAGTGTTTAAAATGCCAAGTGACCCTGAGGCTGTTGTCCAGAGTCACACAGTGTTCTCTGTCTTATGTACTAAAAAGGAAACTACCTCAAACCATATCCTTGTGATATTCCAGAACTCAACTACCCATGGATCAGACTTAAGTCAGACAAGCCTAATGTGTCCTCACCAGGCAAGGATCGCTTCTGAAATCAGTTGCCAGACCTTCTCATGATGAAATTCACAGAATCGTATTAAAGTTTCCTCAGCTGTCATTTTCATTTCTAAAACTGAATTTGAAGGCTGTCCTGTTAGTGTTGTTTTACTATCAGAGGAGTCATGAAGCAAAGGATTCCGCAGCCTCCATTTCTGACACTTGAGCAATATACCAGTAAGCTCAGGCCAAGACTTCAAGAGCAAAAATTTGAAGGAGGGGATTGATTAGAACACGTTCTAGGACAAGAAAAAGCAGAGCGATTGGAAACACGGAAATAGCACACAGGTATTCGTGACTGCTACGGGAAACACCACTATCCTTAGGCTGGAAACAAAGGGAAGAAGTTCACATATCAGAAATCAGAGGCCTCCAAGGAAGACAAGCGATTTGTCAGTGCTGAAACTCCTCTGGGGATGCTGCTGCTGATTCATTAAGGACCCAGATGATGGAGTCTGAACCAACATATTGTTGTTTTCGTGGTAAAGAGCCTTTGCTAAGGTAATGCTGAGAAGCACAACTTGCTCAAAGGAAAGAACCAGTCCCTCCTTTTCCTTGCCAGTGTCCCTCTAGTGCCACCTGTTGACAACCTCACATGGGTCTGACGGGCAAAAAGGAGTAACAACTTGGAGTAGTCCAATAGCAGTAGCACGCAGCATGCATGGATGGGTTTGAGTCAGGACACAATACCTTACTAACTGCTGCAAGCAACTTGAGGATTGCACAAGAAAATGCTTTTGAAAGTACTTGACACAATGCTGGAAGCACGCCTGGCCGCGTGCTCAACAACGCTGTTGCTCCTGGGCCCCCTTCAGTGTTTCTCAGACTATGAAATGTTTCATCTTTTCCTGGGTGCCTAACAGCATGGTTAGATAGCAAGAGAACACATTCCCAGTTCACATTAAGCATCCTTTTAATGTACCAAAGATCCTGGTAAATCTTTGACACTGAACTTCCTTGAAGAGAGAGACTTTATGGTGCTAAACAAATTCTGTTTCGTTGCTGAAGATCTTGTTGGTTTAATAGCAGATGATATTAACTGACTACTTTTCATATATCAGCACCATAGAAGGACTTCTGTTTGACTTCTTTTGTCTAATTCTCCCAACAATACTACAAACATATAATTACTACTACCTACTTTTTAGAAATGAGAAAACTTAGAGATGTAATGCACCCATTAAATGTGTCTCGACATTGTTGCTATGTGGCTCATTTAAGGCACCTTCCCTTCTGCATTCATTCAACTTGATGAGATCAAGAAAGTTAACATAACAACAAAATTTGATTGAACTGAGCCTCCGTTTGGTTGGTTTTCTTCGGGAGCAGTAAGACACAATTTTGCATGCAGCAAAACTGGCAGTCTTCCAACAGACAAGCCAAATGCAATAAATCTTTACACTTCCAAGTTGCTGCTGCCTCCAGGTCTTTAGTAGAACGCATCCCTGCCCCGAAGAAGGAGCAATTCTGGGGCATTGTCAAGGCTCTTGGTAATAGGCACTTATTGACTGTGGAGAACTCCAAACCTTCTCTCAACTCTGATCCCACTGTTTTGACCTGTCCTAGCCTAAGAATCAAGGTACATCCATCATCCCAGCCCTCTATCCTGCTCATACAAACAAGGCAAGCTGCTTGAATGTCTATTAAGTTATAGAGAAAAAATAGTCTAACACATCCATTTTGATGAGTTATGTATAAATAATGGTGATCTTTGGGAAGATCAACTACTGCACTTCAGACCTCCAACCTTCCAAATAGTCTCTCTCTTGGGTACTGGACGGGGGAGATGTTTTGATCATCATTCTGCAGGCACTGTGTCCCTTGGCAACTAAGAAGGGATTGGAGGAGACCCACAACAGAGGTGTTGGTGATGGAGCTGACTGGAGCAAGGCAAGGAGGGGGGA